GAGGAGATGGTACCACTCCTTCTGAAACTATTCCAAACAATAGAAAAAGAGGGAATCCTTCCCAGATTATTTTATGAGACCAACATCATCCTGATACCAAAACCTGGCAGACACTCAACAAAAAAAGAAAATTTCAGGCCAATATCCATGATGAACATAGATGCAAAAATCTTCAGCAAAATACTGGCAAACTGATTGCAACAGCACATCAAAAAGCTTATCCATCACGATCAAGTAGGCTTCATCCTGGGGATGCAAGGCTAGTTCACCATATGCAGCTCTATAAATGTAATTCGCCATATAAACAGAACAAAAGACAAAAATCACATGATTATCTCAGTAGATGCAGAGAAGGCCTTCAGCAACATTGAACAGCCCTTTATGCTAAAAACTCTGAATAAACTAGGTATCAATGGAATGTATATCAAAATAATAAAAGCTATTTATGACAAACAGCCAATATCATACTGAATGGGCAAAAACTGGAAGCATTCCCTTTGAAATTTGGCACTAGACAAGGATGCCCTCTCTCACCACTCCTATTCAATATGGTATTGGAGGTTCCAGCCCGAGTAATCAGGCAAGAAAAAGAAATAAAGGTCATTCAATTAGGAAAAGAGGAAGTCAAATTGTCTCCATTTGTAGACAACATGATTGTATATTTAGAAGACACCATTGTCTCAGCCCAGAATCTCCTTAAACTGTTACACAACTTCAGAAAAGTCTCAGGATACAAAATCAATGTGCAGAAATCACAATTATTCCTATACACAAATAACAGACTTAAAGAGAGCCAAATCAAGAATGAACTGCCATTCACAATTGCTACAAAGAGAATCAAATACCTAGGAATACAACTAGCAAAGAATGTAAAGGACCTCTTCAAGGAGAACTACAAACCACTACTCAAGGAAATAAGAGAGGACACAAACAGATGGAAAAACATTCCATGCTCATGGTTAGGAAGAATCAATATCGTGAAAATGGCTATACTGCCCAAAGCAATTTATAAATTGAATGCTATTCCCATCAAGCAGGCTACCATTGGCCTTCTTCAGAGAACTGGAAAAAAAACACTTTAAACTTCATATGGAAACAAAAGGGAGCCTGCATAGCCAAGACAATCCTAAGCAAAAAGAACAAAGCTGGAGGCATCATGCTACCTGACTTCAAACTATACCACAAGGCTACTCAAAACAGCATGATAGTGGTACCAAAACAGAGATATAGACAAATGGAACAGAACAGAGGCCTCGAAGGCAAAGCCACGCATCTACCACCATCTGATCTTTGACAAACCTGACAAAAACAAGCAATGGGGAAAAGATTCCCTGTTTAATAAATGGTGTTGGGATAACGGGCTAGCCACGTGCAGAAAGCAGAAACTGGACTGCTTCCTGACACCTTACACTAAAATTAGCTCCAGATGGATTAAGGATTTAAACATAAGACCTAACACCATAAAAACCCTAGAAGAAAACCTAGGCAAAACCATTCAGGACTTAGGCATAGGCAAGGACTTCATGACTAAAACACCAAAAGCAATGGCAACAATAGCCAAAATAGACAAATGGGATCTAATTGAACTCCAGGGCTTCTGTATAGCAAAAGAAACAATCATTAAAGTGAACCAGCAACCAACAGAATGGGAAAAAATTTTGCAATCTACCCATCTGACAAAGGGCTAATATCCAGAATCTACAAAGAACTAAAACAGATTTACAAGAAAAAAACAAACAAACCCATTCAAAAGTGTGTCAAGGACATGAACAGACACTTTTCAAAAGAAGACATATATGAGGCCAACAAACATATGAAAAAATGCTCATCATCACTGGTCATTAGAGAAATGCAAATCAAAACCACATTGAGATGCCATCTCATGCCAGTTAGAATGGTAATGATTAAAAAATCTGGAGACTACAGATGCTAGAGAGGATGTGGAAAAATAGGAACACTTTTACACTGTTGATGAGAGTGTAAATTAGTTCAACCATTGTGGAAGACAGTGTGGTGATTCCTCAAGGACCTAGAAATAGAAATTCCATTTGATCCAGCAATCCCATTACTGGGTATATATCCAAAGGATTATAAATTGTTCTGTTTTAAAGACACATGCACACATATGTTAATTGCATCACTGTTTACAATAGCAAAGACCTGAAACCAACCCAAATGCCCATCAATGATAGACTGGACAAGGAAAATGTGGCACATATACATCATGGAATACTATGCAGCTATTAAAAACGATGAGTTTGTGTCTTTGTAGGGACGTGGATAAATCTGGAAACCATCATTCTCAGCAAACTGACACGAGAACAGAAAACCAAACACTGCATGTTCTCACTCATAGGTGGGGGTTGAACAATGAGAACACGTGGACACGGGAAGGGGAGCATCACACACTGGGGTCTGTTTGGGGGGAATAGGAGAGGGACAGCGAGAGGTAGGGAGGTCGGAGAGGGATAACATGGGGAAAAATGACAGATATAGGTGATGGGGTGATGGAGACAGCAAACCACATTGCCATGTATGTACCTATGCAACAATCCTGCATGATCTGCACATGTACCCCAGAACCTAAAGTAAAATAAAAAAATATATTTTAAAATTATTTTTAATGGAGTCCACCAAATGCTAAGCCTAATTAATGAGAAAAGTGCCATACTTAGACATATTCTAGGATAATATATTGAAATAAAATCTTAAAATCTTCATGTTACCTATAAGAGAGTACAAATTAGAGTATGAATTCAGCTTTTCTGGGTAAACAAAGACTAATGGCTAACAAAAATTTTTTGCTTTATCAAAGCACATTTATCAATTTTAATGACATGTTTCATTAAGTATCTCATTAACCGCTTTTTGAAATGTTAGCCTCTCTTTTCAATTATGATTTTTATTCATAGCTGAACACAAGAATTTGGAGGTATGACAATTTATTTGCACATAATCATGGGAAGTAAAATGCTTATATACTTGGAATTGGGAATTAGATTTTGTTGGTTTAAATCCATGCTCCACAATTTACTGGCTATGACACATTTTATACACTTAAACTACATAACCTCTTTGTGTTTTAGTTACTTCCTCTGGGCAAACAGAAATAATAATAATGCCTACCTCCTAGGGTTATTGGAACATTCAATGATATAATACATAAAATACACTTAAAATAGTGACCGCTACATAGTAAGGATGAGGTATGTGAACTATATGCAAAATAAATCAGTTGCAGTATATCCATGGGGCATTGTTTGCAAATGGGAAACAATCTTAAAGTCTATTAATAGTGAAATGGTTACATTTATTATAGACTATTCATGCTAGGGAATACTATGTAAACCTTGTAAAAATTAAGCAGATATAGTTATGTTAATATGGAACTCTCTCTGTACATGAAAACTGAAAGTTGCAGGCCAATATATTATGGTATAATCACAATAGTACAAGGGAAAAAAATCACAAACTACCCATTTAAAACAGACAAGCTTATATTTGAATGTATGTATATGTTTATATTTACAGAGATAGAGAGATTTATACGCAGGGAATTTTTTTAATAGTGGTTACCTTTGGGGAAGGGAAGTAGTGGAGAGACATTCTAAAGGTCTGATATGTTTATTTTCTATATTGTATTTATGTATAATTCGTGGGATTCACTAAGAAAGCTCTAAGGCAAGCTTCTCAGACCTGTAGCTCATGGGCCGCATATGGCCCAGGACAGCTTTGAATGCATCCCAACACACATTTGTAAATTTTCTCAAAGTATTATGAATTCTTTTGTGATTTTTTTAATTAAGTTATCAACTATCCTTGTGTTAATGTATTTTACCTGTGGCCCAAGACAATTCTTTTTCTTCTAATATGGCCCAGGGAAGCCAAAACGTTAGATACTCCTGTTCTAAGGAAATATGAGTACTGGTTTTCAGATGTTTACTTTCAGATACACTGTAATATATGTACTTAGCATTTTGGTTTCACCACTATTTTGCTGATTTTTCTAGTATGTGGTTTTTGTTCTTGTCTTGAACTAACAATTAATTTAATGAGTCTCTACATAATGGTAAAAGCACACATTTCTGGTTATTTCCAGACAGCCAGGGAACAGCATCTTGTGCTATTTTCTCCTATTTCTAGTAACTTGCAACAAACTTTATATGTGCCTTTTTTTGTAATATTCACCAACTACCCCATGTGTTAAAAGTTGTGTGTGTGTGTGTGTGTGTGTGTGTGTGTGTATTCTCTTTCTGTCATCTTTCTGTCTTATTTGTAAATCTTATATAATCAGATATATATAATATATATAATTCTAATACAGCAATTTGAGAACAAAATTTACGCTGACTTAGCATTTTATTCTTGACAATATATTTTACATATAATCAGTACTTAATAACCCCTTAAATGAATAATATTTTAGATTATTATATTTCTGTGTACTAAAAGGCATGAATTTTAAAATATATGCTCTGAGCCAGGCGTCCCCAAACTACAGCCCGCGGGCCACATGCGGCCCCCTGAGGCCATTTATCCGGCCCCCCGCCACACTTCAGGAAGGGGCACCTCTTTCATTGGTGGTCAGTGAGAGGAGCACAGTATGTGGCGGCCCTCCAACGGTCTGAGGGACAGTGAACTGGCCCCCTGTATAAAAAGTTTGGGGACGCCTGCCTGAGCAGACTACAGGTAAGTACATTACATACTTCTGAACAGACTACATGTTCACTTCTTGTAAGAGTATTATCATTTTCATCATCTAACATTCTAAATTTTAATTGCAAATATATCTATAGTCCTTTGTCTCAGGAAATGGTCATTTCATTTTTTATTATCTCAAAGTTTTTACCATAGAAATTTCTCAACCAAGATGCACAAGTACAAAGTTAGAATTGTTCCCTTTAAATCTAATGATAAGAACTCAAGAAAAAATATTTTAGAGTACAAAAAACTCCTTATTATTAACATTTTCTTTTCTTTGTGTTTTGAATATTTTTCAGACTTGGGATGTAGCTTTGTCACGGACTGCTAGAGCATGGGGAAAAAAGTGTGTGTTTGAGCATAATATTTATTTACAAGGTGTACGTATGGCCCATCCTAAATTTTATGGTATTGGTGAAAATATGTGGGTCGGCCCTGAAAATGAATTTACTGCAAGTATTGCTATCAGAAGTTGGTATGCAGAGAAGAAAATGTACAATTTTACAAATGGCAGTTGCTCTAAAAACTGTTCTAATTATATTCAGGTATCTAATTTTTAGTTATTAATTCAAAGACTTCTTAATTGCTTTATGTCTAGTTTTATGTTTCAAATTTGTATATAAATTCAAATGATAAATTATTACATTTAATAAGATCACAATTCTAATCAATCCTCCTAGATCTTTAAAATGTCTACCATCCCATCTATTATGTGACACCAACAATTAAAACATTCCCTTAAATACAGTAAACCTAATCTCCATATTCAAAGATGAAAGTCACTTTCCTAAAAATAATGCACACTGGAAATGGAGGGAAGAAACCAGTAAATAAAAATAATTTATAAATTATTGACTTATGTTTATAAGTAGAAGGTATTTTTTGCACATAGCAGTACACATACTACTACTATATAGCTGATTGATTAAAACATTTGAAATGAAAATTAATAGTATTATTTCCCTGCCTCTGGTTCAATAATCCACCCTCACACTTCAAACTTCAGAAATACTGAAGCACTTTTCATTTCTAATACATAATATTTGTTATTTTACATAGCACATTGTTTAATAATAATTTATTTATATGTCTGATACTACACTGAGGGCAGGGACCTTGCCTTTTCATCCATATAGTCTCAACATAACAACGTGACATTATTTAGGTCTGCAATAAATATTTGTTTCAGTAATCAAGAAGTTCATGCAAGTTTTTGCGTGAACTCCCACATTTATTTAAAAGATAGTTTTTCAGTCAATAGAGTCTGATGTCACTTGAAATTTGTTCATGTTTAACTCATGTCTTTCTGTTCCATGCAATCATACTTCAAATTTTTTTCATCAGTTCTTTTTCTGGTCAGTTTTTTCTTCTAGACAGTCATAGTGATTTTCCACTGACTTGCTCCTATCAACCCCAGCCTCTTTAATATGACTTCAATACTCAGTAAACTAACCAAATCTACTCCCTAACATAGTACTCTGTATTTTTACTCCTTAATTCTAGTCTCCTAGACATTTTTGATTCCTGCATTTGATGTGCTTAACTTCACTTTAACTCTTGCAGATACTATATTCTCTATTCTTTTAATGTATCACCTTTTTGATGTGTCACTTTATTTTTTAAGAATCACACTTTTAAAACCACTAAGGCTTGAGATAAAGAATAAGAGAAAACAAGAATAGCTCCTCTTTCTTGCACAGAGGTTAACAAAACAAAGCAAGTACTTTTTTTGTTCACTTGAAAGTATTAGAAATATTAAAGTTATACAGATAATTTGTTTATCTGGGAATGCCTTTGATTATTCCCATCTTTTTCACTCCAGTTCAAGATCTATTTCTCTTTTATAGGAACTAGCTCTTTTATTTTTTAATGTAAAGGCCAGATTTTGTTTTATCTTGCAATATAATTTTCTTAACAAAGAGAAGGAGAAATGCCAATAGCATTCAATTCTTCTCTACTTTTGTATCTCTTTCTTCTCTACAATCGGATTGTCCCTCTTTTTCTCCCTTTTTTCCACAATTTCCATCTTTTTAAAAACTTTTTCTCCTCTTTCCCATCTTCTTCTCTGCCAATTACCTAGAACTCTCCAATTCAACCAGATGTTGAAAATTGATTGATCAGGCACGACTTCCTTTGGCTCTGAGGCATTATTCTGGATCAACCATGTTCTCAAACAGTTCTTCCTAAGAATATGGTATTAGTAGAGCCTATTGAAGTATTTCTCTAAATACCATGTTGAAAATGCTGCTCTAACTCCGTGGTAACCCTCTATATGTCTCTAAATGAAAATAACTTATATTTCTTGAATTGCTTGGTGAAAAGTTATATGTGAATGGAATATATTATTGTTTATAATATGAAAGAGTAAGTTTTTAATTTTGTGTCTTTCTTGAAAATCTTATTTTAGCTTGTTTGGGACAACTCTTACAAAGTTGGTTGTGCTGTTACTCCATGTTTAAAAATTGGACATATTAGACATGCAGCTATTTTCATATGTAACTACGCACCAGGGTAAGTTACTTAAAATTAATAAAATAATATTAAAATAAATTCAGAATATTTCAAGGTTAAGTTTTTCTAATTTTTAATGTATTTTTGTGTTTTTTTGAACTATAAAATAAATACATCACTTTACACTGAAAAGTAATCAATTTTATAATGAAATAAGTCATAACTTGGACATACTGATTTTACTTATACACTAGCCAAATATTACTTCCTATAGTAACCTTAATTTTAGTATTATTTCACAATATTTCATCTAATTACCATAAGACAAATTATTTTCCAAAATAGTTATTCTAAAATTTGTAGTAAAAGTGGAAAGAAAATTAGATGTGTTGAAATTTATATAGCAAGAATTGTTGCAGGAATATGTCAATTTTGTAACAGGAAGTACACTTTTAATTGACCATGCCTTGGAGATTGCATTATTAAGTGGGGCTAGTCTCATAAAGAATTGTAATATTTGAGAGATTGAAAAGCACTTTAAACATCTTTTAGTCAAGCTATTCACATGTGACTATACCCTATACCTGAGTACCTTCCAATGGTGGAAAATAACTACATCCCAAAATAGCTTTCATTACCTGAGAGCTCTCTTGGAAAGTCCCAAGCTTTCTTACAGGTTGATATAATACTATAATTAATATTATAACTTCCAAATAGGTGAGAAAATATTCCGATTAACATCTTAAATAAAGAATAATAATTGACTGTCTACCAAAATTAAGAAGGAACTTCTGCCAAATAAAATGATTTGGGACTAATCAGAAAGAAAAATAAAAAAGTAGTGATTATTGATTGTATTTCCCTGGCTAAGAAAAACAATAAAATTACACTGTACATCAAATTAAACTCAGAAAGCCCTTTTCTGATTAGAAGTCTTGCTAACTTTGAACATAAACATGCAAAATAAATTTGGAATACAGAGTTGCAAAACAGTTTAGGCTTCCTTTCCTTCTTACACACTGGGAGCATTGGGATACCTATTACAGGCATAAACTTTAAAAGTTACTGCTGATTGGCGTTGCAAATTCAGAGAATTGTACACCAGGGAGGAGGGCATTGGTGGAAGTTTTTCTGGGGCACAAATCCTCATTTATTCACTCAGCGAGTATGTACAGGCTCTGTTCTTTCTACTAACAAGACCCAAAAAGACACCACATTTAGTTTATAGTCTTGGCAGGGAGACAAACATTTTTTAATAAGTGAACACATAGATATATAATATTTTAATTAGACAATAAAATATACTCTAAAAATCAAGCAAGATTAGCAAGTAGAGAGTAACTAGTCTAGAAGATAGAGTAGTCACAGAAGGAGGGTATCATTTGAGCTGAAAACCAGATGTTCTAGGTAGAAGTAAGAGTACGTATAAAAATCTCGGAGATTTGAATGAGTTTAACATGTTTGAGAAAGGAATAACTGTGGTTAGAGGTAGGAATTGAGGTGGAGAGTTAGATGAAACCTAGACCAAATATAATAACAGGTTATGTTAAAGATTTTGGAATTTATTCTAAGTAATGGCAAAGCCATTGGAAGGTCTTAAGCAATTGAGTCACATGATCTCATTTTTGTTTTGAAAAGAACACCTAACAAAAATATTACTGTAGCTGTTGGTAGAGAATGGCATATAAAGAACCAAGAGTGTAAAGAGGAAGTACAATTAGGAGGCTATTTCCTGTTGTACAGGTTACAGACTGGTAATTTGGATTAGGGTTTCAGCAGGTGGATTATTTTTTGAGTGTTAGATAATGAATTACCACAAATGTAGTGATTTTAAAGCGGCACCCATTTATTATTACACAGTTCTGTAGGTCATGAACCCAGGTACACTGTGGCAGGATTCTCTTCCCAAGGTCTCAAAGGCCAAAATCCAGATGTTGACTAAGTATTCACCTGGAGTCTTGGAGAAGTACCTGCTTCCAAGTGCATTCTTCTAGAAAGCCTAATGAGGCCTAACCAAGGACTTAAATAAGTAATGTTTATTTATATAGCTCTCAATTACATAACAGGTAAATAGGCAATCCTGAATAAATTACCATGATTAATGACCTTGCCCCCATTCAAAAGTATCTTTTCTCTACTTGTTTTCTCTATGTTTTTTATCCTAGATCATTTATATAAATTTCCCAATTTATAAGTAGTTTGGGGCCTTTTTTCTCATTTAGCTCTAGGCAATTGATGTAATTATTTTTTACTTCTCTCTTTAGTTTTGTACAATGGATTAAATCAACTTTGTAAACTTCCATTTGTATTTATTTGCTTCTTTATAAATTTATGTGTTTTTCTATATAGATCTCCAAAATAATTCATGCAAATGAGTCTTTGGGACATAGGCATTTCATAATTTTGTAAACTCTACAGGTACTTAACATATCATTTCCGCAGAACTTTTTATGTATTTGTGCCAACCAGAAAGCAATTAATTATAAAACATTCTGTATCATCAATTTTTAAATTTTATTTATTTATTTTAGAGTCAGATCCTTGCTCTGTTGCCTGGGCTAGAGTGCAGTGGCACAGTCGTAGCTCACTGCAGCCTCAAACTCCTGGACTCAAGTGTTCCTCCTTCCTCAGTGTCCTGAGTAGCTGGGACTACAGGCATGCACCATGCCCGGCTAATTCTTTAAAAAATGTTTTTTAAGAGACAAGGTCTTGCTATGTTACCTGGGCTGGTCTCCTGGTCTCAAGAGATTCTCCCACCTCGGCCTCCCAAAGCACCAGTATTACGGGCAGGGGAGTTACCACATTCAGCCTATATTATTCATTCTAAAAAGTTACATTTTGCTGTAAACTAAAATGAAAGGAGCTTTAAAACCCATTCTTACATTTAATTATAATACTTTGTTTCAAGGATGTGGGAATTTGTTTCAGAAAAGACTTTTCTGGGGAAGAACAAAAGGGAAACATTGAATCTCTAATTAAAGTTATTTCCTTAAGTCCATTTTCTTAACTCACCTTTTTAACCGAATTAAAAATTAGTAACTATATTATTTAAAGTACATGTAGAAAATTAAAGCTTTTTCTAACTAAATATTTTCTGCTTTTTTGTTTGTAGAGGAACGCTGACGAGAAGACCTTATGAACCAGGAACATTTTGCACTCGATGTGGCAGACGTGACAAATGCACAGATTTTCTATGCAGTAAGATAAAGAAAATAACTTAAATATGAAAAAAAAATCCATAATGGATTGGACAAGAAAAATAAGTGATTAAACACTGGTTTCTATTGTTATGTTAATATAATTTCTTTGATCAGAATGCTACTGTTATGTTATCAAAGGATAGTTGACACAGTATCATCTTTATATTTTTCTGAACTGCAGAGCCTTGTCTATCTTAACCCTATTCCTTCCCCTGAGGACATACCAGAGTGTCAGAATGAAGAAATGAGAACAACAGTTATACCCTGAAAAAGCTTCACAATTATTTAAACAGCAGCCTATTTGATAATAACTGCTTTAAAGGATAGTATGTGTTCCAAAATATTTATGAAGTAGCACATATTTAATACCATTTTATTTAAGTTTTTCCTCCAAAAAGCTGAAATCTCCTCCAAATATTTAGAAAGTTAAAAGTAGACAATATGGTTTCATCACATTTTTATTTTAGTTTTTCCAAACATGAGAGAATATATTCCAAAAGTATAACTATAGCTGAAATATACAATGCTTAGAGGAATGTGGTAGAAGATAAATTTGGATAATAAGTAAATAGCATATTTTTGGTTTTAAAAACAAACAAACAAAAAAAAGAGACACGGTTTTGCTGTTATCCAGGCTGGAGTGCAGTGGCATGATCATAGCTCACTGCAGTCTCGAATTCTGGGCTCGAGTGATTCTCCTGCCTCAGCCTCCCCAGTGGCTAAGACTACAGGCATGTGCCACCATGCCCAGCTTATTTGTTTTAATTTTTGCAGAGACAGGATCTTGCTATGTTGCCCAGGCTGGTCTTAAACTCCTGGCGTCAAGTGATCCTTCTACCTTAGCCTCCTCAATATATTAAGTTCTTGTGCTAAAGAAAAAAAAAACGAGAACAAAAACTAGTGGACAGTTTTTCTATAACACCACTGCAGGGATGAATCCACCCTCACATTTCTGCTTTTGCTTCACTTGAATCAAGATGCAAATTCTTGCTCTTCCTCTTTTCCTTGTCTTTCTTTTTTCTGAAAAATTCAATCCTGAAGTCACTGGGCAGGTCAGGAGAAGGTAGTTATCTACACAGAGGGGCAGCCAGAGGTGATATGTCAGAGCCTAAACAGGATAACAAAGGATCCACAGAAGATGCAGTGGGCATGGGAAAGAAACCTAAGGAAAGTGATGATGCTGTCCACATAGAAGTGTGACCAAGTGTGGGAAGTCAGAGCCCTCACAGAAACAAGTAACTATCCATACATGAGGTCTGGCTTGGGGTATCAGAGCCAGAGCAGAATAAGATATCCATGCAGGGGTGACTCAGCATGTGGCATCTGTGCCCAAGCAAGGTGAGGAGAGCATCAACATGGGTTGGAAGGGAGAGTTTAAGCCAGTAAGGAAGGCATCCCTGGAGGATGGTCTGGCAGTGGTTGTTTGAGGCCAAGCAGAATAAGTAGAGTCCACATTGGTTGGGCTGAGAAGAGATTTCAGAACCTAAGCCAGTAAAGGGGGTATCCATGCTTAGGGGCAATCACACATGAGGTGTCAGAATGCAAATTAGGTGAGGAAAGTTTGACTGTGGGGAAGATAACTTGACATGGGTAAGGTCAGGGCCCTAGTGGAGTAAGAAATGAATCCACATGTGCAGAAACCCAGAGCTGGGTTTCAAAGTCTGAGCAGGGTGGGAGAGTGTTCAAGCGGAGGGTCAGCTCCTAAACTGCCAGATTAATACAAGACAATTTTTCAGCATAAATATATTCCAAATATTGCATTGGACAGACTTATACTAAGAAAATAATTACTGCTTCCTGAGATTCAAATGTAACCTGGCATCCTTTATTTTTATTTGCTAAATCTGAGTGTCTAAGTTTAAGCAGAGTGCGGAGGGCACCTATGTGTGGTAGGGGTAAAGACAATGATGGGAGATTGGAAGCATACTGGAGGATTGATTAAAAAAAATGAAATTAATTTTGGATAATGGGGGCTAGTTTTCTCACTGTCAGAAATGGAGTATGAATTTGTAAAGGAAAAAAATGGACATGAATCATATGGTGGTGAATTAGAATTAGAAGCATTGGAAATTAAGAATTTTAATAAATAAGCATATATATATGTATCTGTATACATATATATATATATGTATATATACATATATATGCATCTACATACATACATACATATATTTCCTAGCTCTGACAGGGCTCTGTAGAAAGTGACCCCCAAAGCATTGAGCATACCTAGCACCTAGATCTTGATTTCTAAGTTCTAATATTCAAGCAAAGGAATCAGGAGTCATTGGAGAAAAAGCCTGATTCCAGGGATAGGGTAGGGAAAGTATAAGATGAATCCAGAACATATTATAGATGATCAAAGTGAACATCCTTAGTAATGGGAAAACCATACACTACTTGAGAGGATGCAATGAGAAGAGCATAACATGACTTCTGTGGCATTTCTAGGAAAGATGCATAACCTAATCCAATCACAAGGAAGCATCAAATAAGTCCAACTTGTAGATTTGCTTTGAAAAATTAAGATTTGTCTACAAAATAACTGACTTTATTTTCAAAAATGAAGGTCAAAGAAAGAATTAAAAGCATGAACACTAGATGTAATACATGGTTCTGCACAAGACATTTTTGCTATAAAGGGCACTATTGTTAGAATTGGCAAACATTTAATGGAATATGTAGATTAGATGGTAGTGATGTAACTTAATTTCTTGGTTTTGATAATTATATTGTGATTATGTAGATTGTCTTTGTAGCACATGCATAGTAAATACTCTGGGAAGATTAGATATCAGGTTGACAACTTATATTCAAATGGTTCAAAACAAAAGTTACTTGTAAAGTATTGAAACTTCTTTGTAATTAGGAATTATTTCAATTTTTTTTTAATTTCTTAAAAAGGTTATAAAATCTTAGGAACGTAAATCACTCTGGAGGCTTTTGTTATAGCCCAGAGGAGGAAAGAAGTTCATATTAGTTTTTATAAGAGAAATAGAGACAAGACCAATTTGATTAACATTTATAGACCCAAATTAGCAAATCTTGGAGACTGATCTGGTGATGAGAGAAAGAGAGAGCATAAGATAAATGCCAGGACTGGGAACTGTGGCTCTCGCCTATAATCCCAGCACTTTGGGAGGCTGAGGCTGGTGGATCACCTGAGATCAGGAGTTTGAAACCAACCTTACCAACGTGGTGAAACCCCGTCTCTACTAAAAGTATCAAAATTAGCCAGGCATGGTGGTGCATGCCTGTAGTCCCAGCTCTTCGGGAGGCTAAGGCAGGAGAATCACTTGAACCCAGGAGGCAGAAGTTGTAGTAAGCCAAGATTGCACCACTGTACTCCAACCTGGGTGACAGGGTAAGACTCCCTCTTAAAAAAAAAAAAAAAAAAGAAAGAAAGAAAGAAAATGCCAGAATTGGCATTTGGGTGACTAATGGTACAGTCGAAATATGAGTTATATGAAGAGGAGAAGCTACAGAAAAGAGATGATGGGTTCAGTTTTGATCATTATTAGCTTTAGATAACCGTTTAAGATCTCAGTAGAGACCACTACTCAACTTAAGCTATAGATCAGGGGTATATTGAGAATTGTTAGTATATAGATGAAGCTAAAAACATAAAAAAGGAAGCACTCACCTGGGTTGTGCTTCATCTAAGGATGAAATCCTGGGGCAGGGAAACAATGAGAAATACTGCAGGAGAGTGGAGAGAAACAGTGGGAGAAAGACAAGAAGAGACAAGGACATCTGTGTCTTTACGCAACACTTTCCTGGGATTTTGATAGAAGTTACATAAAACCTATAGATAATTGGCAGCGGAATAATGAACATTGACAATATTGAATATTCCAATCCATAAATACAGTTTGTTTTTAATTTGGGGGGTATTCTTTTATCAATGTTTATTAGTTTTCAGAATACAGATTCTGTAAATGTTTTATTAGCATTATTCCTTCATATTTCTTATTTTTGATTTTGTTATAAGTGATATTTTAAAATGTGTCTGTTATTAATTTCTAATTTCATGTCTTTGTGTTCAGAGAATACAATATATAGATTTCAGGGTATTGGCCAGGCGTGGTGGCTCAAGCCTGTAATCCCAGCACTTTGGGAGTCCGAGGCGGGTGGATCACGAGGTCAAGAGATCGAGACCATCCTGGTCAACATGGTGAAACCCCGTCTCTACTAAAAATACAAAAAATTAGGTGGGCATGGTGGTGCGTGCCTGTAATCCCAGCTACTCAGGAGGCTGAGGCAGGAGAATTGCTTGAACCCAGGAGGCGGAGGTTGCGGTGAGCCGAGATTGTGCCATTGCACTCCAGCCTGGGTAACAAGAGCGAAACTCCGTCTCAAAAAAAAAAAAAAAATTGTTAAGGTTTATTTTTTGGCCTGAGACATATACTACCTCAGTATATGTTTCTATGGCTGTTTGAAAACAAGTATGTGATTCTGCTATTGTTGAGTGCAGTGTTCTGTAATAAGTTTGATTCTGTCGATTGATGGTATTGTTGAGTCTTTCTATATTCTTGATAATTTTCTGTCTAGTTGTTCTGTCAATTTTTGAGAGAGGAATAGTGAAGTCTCCAACTCTAATTGTAGGCAGATTTTTACATTTCTTCTCTCAGCTCTGTCAGGTTTCCTTTGTGTATGTTGAAGCTCTGTTAAGTGCACATACAATTATAATTATTATGCTTTCCAGGTGAACTCACCATTTTATCAATACGTAATGTCTCTCTTTATCCCTTATAATTTTATTTGCTATAATATCTATTCTAATATTGATTTTTAAAATATCTATATTATTAAATTTCAAGTGAGTTTCTTATAAACAGCATATAATTGTTTTAATCCATTCTGACAATCTCTTCTAATTGCTGTATTCGTATTCAGCCCATATACACTTAATATTGTTATTAGTATGTCTGAATTTAGGTCTACCATTTTGTTATTTGTTTTCTGTTTTTTCCTCCCTGGTTCTTGTTTTTACTCTTCTTT